TCAAAGCTGTGTATAATTGGTATATTTTATATTGATAGCTTTCAAAGAAGATTAAGATTCAGTTTCCTATATCCTGCAGATAATGAATGGCCTTCCTTGAAATGAACTGCCTGGGCAGGAGCAGGTTGCTGTTGCTGGCTGTTTTGGGTGTGGGAATGCTGGGCAAGGCGGTCTCCTAATGGACCTTTGCCCCTTCAGGGACTCTGCCTGGAAGGACCTCCCACACCGAGATTAGGTGTAAGACTTCCACACTGAGCAAAGGAATCTTTTAAAAGCTAACAGTTTAAATTTCAACTTGGTGATAATAAATGCTAAAAATTAAAGCTAAATAGAAAATATATGTAAAGTTTTAAATTTGCAACAAATGCTGGGTGTGGTGGCACATACCTGTAACCCCAGCACTCAGGAGGCTGAGGCAAGAGAATCTCTGTGAGTTCAAGGCCAGCATGGGCTACATAGTGAGTTCAAGACCAGCCTGGACTACATAGTGAGACCTTGTCTCAAGAATTCAACCCCCCCCAAAAAAAAATTGTAGCAAATGATATTGTCTGGCCTGTATAAATAAGATTTCTACTTGACCCATACACGCTTTAAAAAATCAAGAATTTAAAATAAATTTAAAATCAAATTCCTGCATCCAAAAAGCTAATTTGCCAGCACCACCTTGTGGTAACTTTTAGTTTATCAAGGATATTTGCTTATTGTGAGATTGTATTAATATTACAATGTTCATTGGAGAAGTAGAAAGTATTACTGGAAATAGCCACCTAATTTTTTTATTATCAAAAGGGAAGATTACACTTTTGTTTAATGTACTTGTAAACCTTTTATTTCATCTTTCTGACAAACCTATGTTTTGTGGCAACCAAAACACTTTTTTTTGAGACAAGGTCTTGCTAAGTTGCCCACATGGGACTCAAACTTTCGATTCTCCTGCCTCAGCTTTACTTTAAGGACAGCATGTTAAAGAAAAACATTTTTATGTAGGAGACATTGCACAAATAGTAATTGAATGAAAAAATGGATGGAGGATATAATGTGAAAGTAGCTGAATCAAGATCATTGAGTGCATTTCAAAATGTAGATGAAATCACTATAAAGTAGTAATTTTTAAAATATATATACTTGCATTAAAAAGGAATGCCAGCCACTGGCCAGAAATTTGAACAACAGAGAGTCGGGAGTAGGTGGAATTAGATGGGACAAGAAGAGGGGAGAAATCCACAGCCGAAAGCGCTGCAGTGCGGCAGGGGTGTGTGCAAGGCAGACGCAGCCAGAAAAGCGGGCAGTTGCTGGGCTTGGGCCCGTGAGGCCTGTGGTGCCCCTTAGAGAACGAGCGTAGGTGCCAGTGGCAGGAGACCGTGCCAGTACCCAAGAGAGCAAGGACTCAGGAAGGGACCCGGAGACCCCGGTCAAAGGAACCAGGACACAGGCGCTCTCCCGGAGTCGGTTCTGCCGCTGCCCCCAGCCTCGCCAGTGCAGGTCCCTGGTACGGGGACCTGCATCCAACACTGCATGAAGAGCAAGTCCCAGAGGCCAGGAGGAGCCCGAATCAGAAGACGCCAGGCCGTTAAGGGAAACTGACGCTGTGGATGGGGCACTAGATCCGCTAAACAGAGCCAGCACCCCAGGAACAAAAGAGAATGTTCAAGAATGGGCAATTCCTGATTCCTCCCTTTTGCCCCTTTAATAAATATGTATTGAGCACTTATATGTAAGAGATCAAATTAAAGAGGAAAATTTAGTATCAAGGAAATTAGAGAAGAAAATTCAGAGTTATCTAATTCTCTGTGCATAATACAAAAACAAAAGCAGGAATCTAAAATTCTAGGTTATCTCTGCATTGCATAGAGGAAGAAACAGAAGTGGATATATATGAAGGGTAACTGATAGTAGTTTAGGGTTTGATATAAAGATATAAATTTTGAGGTATGTTAAAACGTTAACTGGACATTAATATACTAATAGAAGCAGCACAGTAAGTCCTAGAAATGGTTATAAAATTTGTTGTTAGAAGACATTTCATGTATGTGTTCTATTTAAGTTTTACTATTTTTACTGTTAAGTGTCACATTTTCATGTTTTCCCACTGAAATTTTTATAGTTTTTAAAATTAGTTCAGGTGCACTTTCAAATTAAATTGTAGGAAAGGGAAATGTAACTGTGAAAGAAATCAAAGGGATACAACAGTACATTTTTGATCATTTTTTAATCCATCCTCACTTCTTAAGTGATGCCTTATTTGTTTTTCCCTAGAATTCTTTTACGGCTTTACTCTACCTATTAAATTCTGCTTCGTTTCGTAGTTCCTGTTGCTATAGAGGAGCAAGTGAAGGGGTTAACATTTTGTGTCTACTATGTAGTGGGGTCTCCCACTTACTTGTTTACGTTTATTTTTGCAGTGCTGGTTAAGCGTGTTAGTTAAGCGCTGTAACACTGGGCTACCTCCCCCACCTGGGAACTCCTTTTTGATTTTATATTTCCCATGTAATAAGGAGTTGAGAAATGATTTATAAAATCTCATGGTTTTGAAGATGTCAGCATGGTCTCATAATGATCTAGTTTTAGTTATGATGACTTGTTTGGCATGAACTTTTTGTGGGAAAGTCTTCAGGGGCTGAGAAAAGTAAACACCTTTATTATCTTGACAATCTCTAAAGACCTGGAACATAAGCTGAGGAATGTACACTGTCTTTCTAGCTTTGATTTATGAAGATACAGTGGCTGTTTCGTCTGAAGACTGTTCAGAGTCTAATGTATGTCTCCCCTTGGATAAGATCACATTGGAATTTAGCACTAAAGTTAAAACTACCATATCATAAAAATAGGACCATTTGTTCTCGGTCTTTGGGTTGTGTTTTAAAGGAAAAATGAGAGAAAGGTAAATCCTTCCCCCTCCCAACCCTTAAAATTCCAAAATTGATGAATTAAGTATTTCCTGGCAGAAATATAACTGGCTAGTATATGTATGAGAAAATGCTTACCCTTACCACTAACAAAAGGAAATGCAGATATAACTAACATGCCGTTTCAGTGAGATGGACTGGGGGCAAAGTAGCGTGCCCACCAGGGGGTCACTGGGCTTAGCTGCACAGTCAGCTGGCGAGACCACCACAAGCCACACCCGGCACAGTAGCTCAGAAGGGTGAGCTTGCCCAAAACCCAGAAGTGGTGGGACAGCACTAGGTATTCCCCCACCGGCTGTGCATACAGCCCTCTGGAAGCTGTGCTCTTTGGTACGTTAGGTGACAAGTTGGGTGCTAAGCGTGGGACTCACACTGGTGGTTTAAGCCTCCTGGCTCAGAATGCTCACACACCAGGAGCCCATGTCAACTCTCACAGTCCCCAGTGCTTAGCTTCACAGTTCCCTGCAAGGTACCTATCGTTATAAAGGCCACTGAACTCAGGAGTGCCCAGAGCTGCAGTGCCAGTTAGGAATGCGTGATTCTTTCCGGTCATAACCGAGGTTACCCTCCTGCGCGGTGATGCTGGCAGCACAGTTGACAGTACACTTTCATCCGTTCCTATGGGAACAGAGCTAGAAAGTTAACTGAAGGTCAGATTCTCCTGCAGAAAGGAAAAAGTTATTCTTAACCCTTACAAAGGATAATGAGTCTAACTCTTGTTAGGATCACATTTTGGCTGTACACATCAAAGCTTTTGTTGTGTGCATGCCTTTGTTTGTAGAGTTTTTTTATAGCATAAAAAATATACACAAAATGTGTGTGTCTGTGGACAAGTAGGTCCACTGAAGCTTCATTTACCATAGTCAGTACTTAGTGACAATATAAATGCCCAGCAGTGGCTTAAGAAAAGCACCATATAGCTGAATGATATGTAAATTCATAGATATATCTAGAAACAACATTAAAAGGATTTATGTAAAAATATTTCATGTTTAACTCCAGGTGATGATTTTATATGTAATTTTTAAAATCATGAAACCCTAGTTTTTAATTTGATCATATATCACTTTTCTAAGTAATTGTTTTTTACAGAAATTATGACCAAAGAGAATCCATTTGAACCCAAACTACTTACAGTGACTAATCATACATTTTAAGAGTTTGCCTCAATACCATTAAGGTTTGATTTTGAATTTCTTTAATGTGAGATTTTATGTATTTTATAAACTATTGAGATCTATCACACATTAACATCTGAAGCCATCAAAATTATTCTGATTGTTCCCCACATATATTATTATATATACTTTCTAACTTCTAATTAAAGCCTCCTATCATAAACTTACCAAAATTGATAAGAAGGTGAATACAGAATTCTTTAGTTGGCTAGAGCTGGGGAAATTAGGATAAATATGCAACACAGCTATCAGTTAGTGATTAAGTAGGGAAAGCACATGACCTGTGGCTTTGATAGAATTTAGATGCCCATCCTCAAGTCTTCATATAGGTTAGGGTAGGTCAGTGGTTGTCATGGTGACTGCCTTTACTACCTAAGGGATTCACTTTTAAGCATACACAATTTATTCTCCATCTTAAATATGTGCACATTGTCATTTATCTTTAACATCATCCCATCCAACCAAGGATGGTCATGCCACTCTGTTTATTGGTTCAGAGCATGTAAAATAAATATTTGGAGGAATATTGGAAAGCAAAATATAATTCAAGCTATAGTACTTTCAACCAAATATGAGTCATGGAAGGGATATCTGTAGGAATGTTGATTGGGCTTGTACTTACTGTTTTATATTAGCTGTGTTTCTTGTTCATTTTACAAATCAATGGTGGAGAGTTAGTTTATCCCAGAGAAATGCTGTGTGCTATGGAAGACCGGCCTTTGGCTTAAACTGGAGGGACCACTTTAAACAGGGACCACGTAAGCTCAACATATGCTTTGTCATCTGTAAAGTGAATAAGTCAAATGCAATATCTCTTAGGTCCTTCTCAGCTAAAAGAGCCTTTGAGACGTATGTAATTTATAATTTTAAAGTTTATTAGCATATGATTTCTGACAATTTGGTATTTGTCTTTCAGTTTATATCTGTTCAAACTAGGGATAGCACCCCAGATCCAGGATCTCCTGGGCAAAGTAGACTTCACAGGTAACGTTCTTTATACATTTTTCACAGTGGGGTTACTAAAAAAATGGACCAGTATTTTTCGCTTTCACTTTGATGTTATTACTTCCCCTTTTTCCTCTTTATTGATTAGAGGAGAAAATTACCTATCTTATTTGTCCTCACCTGAACTCCCTTTCCTTACATTTGTGAAATAAGAAATGCAGACTTGATTCTTCCTGAAGATCTTGGTTTTGGTTTTGTTTTCACTTTTGGTTTGAATCTCGTGTAGCTGAGGCTGGCCTCGAACTCCCAACTCACAGGGATCCTCCTGCCTCCGCCTCCCAAGTGCTGGGATTATAGGTGTGTACTACCACACCTGGCTTCTTTTTATTTCTTTTTCTTTCTTTTTCTTTGGCTAAGGCCCTGGTTTAGAAAGGACCCCACCCTCCTAAGGAAGGGCTTTCTCTATGCCATTGTATTATTTATCCCTGCCTTTATCTCTGTGGCTTCCTTTGATTTTGTTTGTTTGTTTGTTTGTTTGGTTCTTTTAGAGGAGGAAATCAGTAATATGAGAAAAGAACTTGAGAAATATGGAATACAGATGCCATCTTTCAGCAAAATAGGTGGCATTTTGGCCAATGAACTATCTGTGGATGAAGCTGCATGTAAGTCTATTTAAACCCCAAACTTGCCGTTGGCATACAACTTACCGGTACTGTACTTGCTGATTTTGATTACATAAAATAGAGTGCCTAAAAGATACATTAAGAACCCTGAGAGTTTTTATTATTTGTACTTACATCACAGCTGACTGAGGATGTCAGAGCGTAACCAAGTCATTGCTTTGGGGGCTTTAGGCAGCCACTTGCACAGCCTGAATTAAGAGGTTCCAGGAATGTCTTCATTCTCCGAAGTGTTTCTGTTTCCTTCGTCTGTAGATTTCAGCGTCATGTACATCGCTGAGTCTTGCAGGGTTGGAGGCTCACTGTCAGGCTCACTCTTGGAGCTAGCTTGTTACCTTAAAGCTGTTAATGTTGCCCTGACCAGAGAGCAGGAATGTGCTGGTACCTGCAGAACCCCTAGTGGTGGACGGAGTTCTTGGTTCATTTTAATTGTCTGGTGCAAGTTGGGTGAATGAATAGGGATGCGGGACAGGACCAGAGACAGACAGGCATGTGGACAGGGTTTGTCATGGGTTTGAGGTCCCTTTTTTGTGTGTGTCTACTTACTAGAAGCCACAGAAGACAGTAAAATTGCTTGATGTCACACACTGTCAACGCAACTGTCCGTGTGGGCTTTTGTTGATTAAAAAAAAAAAAAACCTCTCTTTTCTCTTTATTTTTCAGTGCATGCAGCAGTCATAGCCATTAATGAAGCTATAGAAAAGGGAATCGCAGAGCAGACCATTGTAACACTAAGAAACCCAAATGCAGTGTTGACTTTAGTGGACGACAGCCTGGCACAGGAATATCAGAAGGAGCTCTGGGGAGCTAAAAGAAAAAAAGAGGAAAATGCGAAGCTGAAGGTACTTAATTCAGACCTAAGTAACAAATACAGTAATGAACATGGTAATGCATAACTTTGAGAAAGCCTTAATGTTAGAGCCAAGAGGCTGTCATCTCTATAGCCAGAGGCAGTGGGTTTTGGTGAAATGTAAGCTTGAAGACAACCATATACTATCTAACGCAGTGAGACTGATCTTATTTTATGAAGGAGATTATAGGTTGAAGGTCATGATCTGAACTTTGCATTTACCCAGGAAGTGTAGAAGTATCAGTTAAACATCATGCCTTGCAAGGGCATGGTGACACATACCGGCAATCCTGTCACTCCAGGAGGCTGAAGCAGGAAGAATACAAAATCAAAGTTGGCAGCTTCCCAACTTAGCAAAACCATGGCAGAAAATAAAATTTAAAAAAGAGTTGGAATGTAGCTCAGTGCGAAGGCCTTGGGTTCAATCCCTGTACAATAGATGATAGGTTGATGATAGATAGATAGATAGATAGATAGATAGATAGACAGACAGATAGATCATGTCAGCAGCAGCAGCCCCTGAGCTAGCCAAGTCACCTTTATTTTTTTTTTTATTTTAAAGAGTAAACGAAGGATAACATAATAATAGGAGGGCCTTACCAAATTACAGACAAAGTGGTAGGAAATTATCAATGGTTATTGTTATACATATTGTTATCTATAAGATAGTTTCTCAGGAAAACAAATAGACAAATGATAGTGAGTTACAGACAAAAGAGGTAGGAGATTATCAATAGTTGTACTATACTTAGGTATCTTCAAAGTGGCTTCTAAAGAATATAAATAGAACTATACTTGAGTGACCTACTGAATAATCATTCAATAATTCTCAATGGTTGTTGTAGGAAACACATAATAATAAACATGGATCCATTTATGAAATAGGATAGGAACAATACAAACATTACAGAGTTATGGATAGATTAGTAGGAAAATATTAATGACTGCTGTAATACATGGTGGTATCTTCAAAGTGGTTTCTCAGGAAGACAGAGATACACAAGAAGGATCTAACAAGTAGTTACAGCCCAAGGGTTGTCAAAAATCAAGTGAGCCATCTGGGGCGAAAGCCATTTTTTGTAGCGTTTTCTCTCCAGCCTCCCATTGCATTGGGACCCCACAACCAGTTAGTGTCCTCTCCCCAACTGTCAGCACAGGCAGCAGGAATCCTGCTGCAGACTTCTCCGGAGCTCCACCACAGCCTGTACTGTCAGGGGAAGAATGGCTTCCAATGAGTCTGTGCAAGTATTGTGCAAGGTCCTCCTGGTTTACAGCTTCCGAGCGGCTCTGGTGACCCCAGTCCACTGGACCTCTGACTCCTTGGGCTTAGTCTGCATTCTCATGTTCTCTGAGTCCTTGTTCAGCAGCTGCTCCTCTGCTGGCTCTGGACCTTTCTAGTTCTCAATGGCAGGAGCAAGAGTGGCCCATTGTATGACATATATTCCCAGGGGTTGTTCAAAGTTTGAATGATTCACACACATCCGTGGGTGGGCAACTGCAGTCGGTGCATGGTGGGCCAATTGTGTCACTGTTTCTCTGTGTCGTGATAGATCTCAATAGAGCAGCAGTGGCCGGCCTAAGGGCTGGCGCGCAACAGCGCTAGCCGCTGCATGGCTCCCCATGCGCTGGGGGCCCTCCCTCTGGGAGCTACAAGGCAGGAAGCTAGCCAGCTGGAAGACTGGCGCTCCCCACCCGTGGCTCCCTGTGCGCCGGAAGCCCTCCTTCTGGGGAACTACGAGGCCGGGAGTGAGCCGCCGGTGCAAAGACCGGCGCTCCCTGCCAGAGGCTCCCAATGCACTGGGGGCCCACCCTCCGGGAGCTATGAGGCAGGAAGCTAGCCAGTCGGAAGACTGACGCTCCCCACCCGTGACTCCCTGTGCCCTAGTCACCTTTATATTTATTAGTAGAGGTGAATAATTCTGTGTGGTGACATTTAGGGGAGATGTGTTTAATGTACTGTCTTCCCAACCCCTCACCTTCCTCTCTGAGTGTCTCTCCTTGGCAAGACAGCTCCTTGTAACCCCAACTCCGCACTGCCCCAACTTCCTGACTGGTTGGTTGCTAGAACTGTCAGCACTGATCCTCTGCTTTCTCACCAGCTTTTTCTTCTCATTAAGCTCTTGCTGCGGCTTCAGCACCATCACTAAAAGAAACTGCTTTAGTATCTCACAGCTTTTCCTTCCCTGATGCAGGTGAGCCAGAGGAGCACCTCTCTTTCCCTTACCCCACCACCCTGACACAGGACGGGAGCCCCTGGCTCCTGCATCTCCCTGTTTCCTGGCATTCTCCAAGCTTTCTTCGCAGAGCTCGACTCTGCAGAATGAAATTTAATGGCATATCTGATGTCACACTGCCCAAACTGCCCCTGACTTTCTGTGGCTGCTGAATTGAGTACAGGTCCTTGGCTTGGCCCTCGGAGGCCTCTGTGCTATGCAAGTGACCTCCCCACCTTTTTTGCTAACCCTGGATATATACTCCATGCAAAGTGGCCCAATATGCCACATGTCACCGTGTGACTAAGTTCTGCCACCCACATCTCATTCCCTTACCTCATCATGTTTCAGGCCTTCCTGAACTGTTACCTCTTTTTAAATTTTTCTTTCCAGTTGAGTTTGAATCTACTTCTCTTTTAGAACCTGTTCCATCCTCTACATGTTCACTATTTGTGTTCTTGATCTTATCAGATTGAATCAAAAGACATTGTCAATATTCAACTGTTTTTCAATCAAAAAGCAACAATACTCAGTGATCCAGCCTGCTGTTTTCCACCTGGAAACATAGCCCTTTTCAGAGCACCTTGGGTCTGTTGCCCGTCTGTGTAACCCTTATGGGGCCTGTGTGTGTCACCCGGGGCCCTGCCCGGAGCAGGCTCTTCTCAAATGCTTGTACTGACTTCAGATGACAATAGTGAGTTATTTCCTTCACCCTTCTCATGTTTTCATTTGTGTTTCAAGCTTCGGAAACATTTTACTGAATCTCGGGAATCAGTGAAGACTTTGTTTTGCAGAACAACTGTATTTCAGAAGAAGAGAGGGACGTATATGAGGAACTGCTGACACAAGCGGAAATCCAAGGCAGCATCGATAAAGTTAACAGTGAGTAATGGGCGGAGGGGGGGTGGGCGGGTGTCTTTTATAAGAGGGGGACTTTCTTTGCTGGAATTCCAGCAGAACTTCCAAACTGTACTGTAAAGCGCCCTTGTGGGATGGAAATTCTACTGAGTGGCCACATTGACCTGTTGGCACGACGTCTGACAGTTTCCCGTTGAGTTTTGTTCTGGGTTGGTTAGGGCCTATCTCCATTTCCTCACAGGTATGGTTCGCGTCATATTTTGAATCTGCCCTTCGCTGGAATGATAGTGAAGCTTACTGATGATGACTTCAGGCTTGCCATTCCTCGCCTGTGACTAGGGGGTGGCATTCTGCTGGGCCTGTAGAAGAGATTATTGACCCTTCTCTTCCCCAAGCAGTGGCCTGCAGTTTGCAGGAGTCACTCTCACACAGCTTTGTAGCATTAGTGTGAGTGAGTGACGGCCCAGATGAAGTCGCATGGGGCAGGTCCGAGTCCCCTGTCCCGGAGCCCCATGGAGTCAGTGAGTTCAGTTCCTCTTAGTGCTGCACCCAGCTGTGTGACTGGAAAGATCAGAAAACTCAGTTAAAGAAAGCGTCTTCAAAGTTAAACCCATGAATCTGTTTATTAGACTTTTCCTTTCTTGAGTAAAATTTATTTTTACTAGAACACCAGAACAGGCACAAGGAGCTCCATTTGACATTTATTTTCCTTAGTCAAACTAAACAACCTGTTAATCCTCACGCCCTGCAAAAAAACCTAAGAAATGGAAGACAGTTGGCCCATTTAATAAAGCACATGAACCGCCTGCCAAAGTGAGACTTGGAGAGTCCACTGATTTCTATAGTCCTAACCCTTGCCCTCGATGTAACTTCCTAGACAATTTGGAATGTTCTTTATTGCTTTGAACACCTTCAAAGAAATATACACCTACAGGTATTACTCAGAAATGTGTCCCAGGTTGTAGGAGAGATACATCAGGGGTTCAAACAGTAATCAGAGCAGCCTGGGGCAGTTAATGTCAATGTCTGGCAGCTAGCAACTGAGTGAGTTTGAGAATTCACACACACAGATGAAAGATCATGAGTGACTTTTTTTTTGTCTTTTTTTTGAGATGGTGTCTTGCTATACAGTTTTCTTTTTCTTTTTCTTTTTTTTGGTACTGGGAATTGAACTCAGGACCTTGCACCTGCCAGGCAGGCACTTATGCTGCTGAGCTATATCCCCGGCCCATGAGTGACTATTTGAAAATCAACACCTTACCATTTTGGTTCATGTCCTATGCCTGTCAAATCTTGAACATGTTGGTGATGATATGTGAGGTCTGATTTCAGGTCTCTCTGCTGTGTTTGAAAGCTGAGAATTTTATTATACTTGACAGAAATGAATTACGGGAAGAAATTAATGTTACCAGTAGAATAACATCTGAGGTCGATAAGCTTGAAGAAGTGGTTCCGTAGCCTTTGCCATGTTTTATTTTTGAAATGTGTATAACCACTACGATAGTCTTTTTTGTGTTAAATAAAACACCATATAAATAAGTATTTTAATACTCAATGACAGTTTGTTGATCACAAATTTAATACCAAGTTGGCTATGCTTCTCCCCTACTTTTAAGTAAAAGACATTGGAGGGTTTTCACTAATGGTGTAACCAGCTGAAATTGAGGAAGGACATTGGCGATGTTTGGTGGCTTTAAAAATGTGCTAAACACAGTTATTCTAAAGCCTTTGCTCTCTCCCTGACTGAAAATGTATAGCCCCACAGAACTAAAAGTAGTCTTGAAAAACCCCTCCAAAACATATTTTGCTCAGTGACATGATAGTGAGACTGTTGTGCACATTCATATCCACAGAGGATAGTGTGGTGGCCAGCTCTTTCCCAACCGTGTAGGCTATTACAATAAACTGTTGGGCATTTACATTTCTTGTAGCCATTGCAGTGGCCTGAGTGGCACCTTTGGTGTAATGCTGAGGGACCTGTCCTCAGACATTTCAGCTTTGTCTGAACTGCAACCCTACACTTTGGGTTTTCCACACACATTCTGTTCATCACATGCTACATTCTGTCAGGTCAGGGCTAGACCTTTTTCTAAATGTAGAGTATGACAATGTGGTAAGAACAGGTTTATTATATTTTTAGAAAAAATAGTTTATTAAGAGTGTCTTAAGGGTATGCTTTCTTTTCTTTTTGGTACTGGGAGTCAAACTCAGGACCTTGTGTTTGCTAGGCAGGCACTTGTGCCACTGAGCTATATCCCCAGCCCCAAGGGTATACCTTCCCGTGCTATTTAACATGCAGTCATACAGATTCTTATAATAAAGTTCTCAGAAGTGAAACGAGGTTGCTGAAAGGCCTTGAAGATAACATTAACACAACAGCAAATACCATGAACAACCTGACCCTCCTTTCTGGAATTCTTTCATTTGTCCATTAATTCTAAGGATAAAAAAGTAATTCTTAGGCTCAGACATGCCTTTACAAGTGTGAGTTTTGGGGGTGATTTGAAGGGTTCCATTAGTCATGTCTCCCACTGCTGAATGGCGGCTCTTAGTGGAAAGTTCAAGGCAGTTCCTTGTGAATATATTTAGAGAAGATAAATTGTCATCGTGTCAAAGAGGTCAGAATCATCTCAGCCGCAGTCTAGTCCTGCCTGCGGCAGATGGGTCAGCCCTTGGGAAGCTCTAGGAAGCTCAGGGATTATTCTTCCTGCTCCACAGATGCATTCTTTGGAGGGCAAACCCTTCAGGCTCCGTCTCTTTGCTCTTGCCTGGTGACAGAGCTCAGCACTCCATCCCCCATGAAGTCAGCAATTCAGTTTCTATGCTCTGAAAATGACACAGAATCTGCTGTTCCAAGTACTCCTAGTTTGCTCACTAAAATCCCTTGTAACCTGAACACTACAACTAGTGGTGAGGTCACAGAGCTTGCGCTTGATCTCATGGATCGAGTGTCTGCATGAGGGTGAACAGTCATGGGGCGGGTGCAGCAGGGCAAGGCTTGCTTTGGGTCTTTCCCCAAAGGGGCAGCAGTAACCCACGAGCAGCCGTGGAGGCGAAGCCTGCCAGAATTGGACAGGCTTTACGAGGTGGGAAATCTTAGGGACTGAAGTAACTCAGAGGCTTCAGGGAAGAGGTGGAGCCAGCGCTATCCCCTGAGGAAGGCTTTTGTGAAGAAGCCCTGCTAGGCAGGAATGATCATCATAACTGCAGCTTTGTCAGTGCCCAGGTGGTCTCAGGGATGAACGAACTCCCAGGACTGGATGGACTTGTTACTGAGCCGACTTTTCCGCGGCTTGGTTGCCCTCCACACTCAGTTGCAGAGCTCAGGGAAAGAGAACCCTGAGAAAGAAGGGCTGGTGGGGTTGGGCAGAGGGGGACAGTGGGCCTTCTAACAGAGCATGACCTGTACCCTCAGGACTGGCTGCAGTGGACCACATCAATGCTGTCCTTCAGAAAGAGGAGCCTGAGCATACGCTGCTGGCACTGCAGAGACCGGAGGCCCAGCTGCCCGCCGTCCACCCCTTTGCTGCTGTGATGTACCAGAATGAGCTCTTCAACCTCCAGAGGCAGAACCCCATGGTAAATGGAGGAGGCACCAGTCCCGTGCGCGCACACACTGCGTCCTAGCAGCAAGACCACTGCAGAGGCAGGGAAAGGGGCGGGTGGAGTCTCACCCCACTCCCCCGACCCCCTCGGTCCGCCCGGCCCATCACAGAGCTTCCTTCCTCTCTAACTCTTGCCTTCAATCTGCACCACAGGAAGACTGTAAGAGCAAAGTTAGGAAATCCAGGAAGTGGCCACACAAATGCACATAAAAGCAGGTTGTTCCTGCTTTGGGGTGATCTTTTTTTTTGGGGGGGGTGATCTTTTTGAAGAATTTCCATTTTTAACTATACTGAAATATTTTTAAAATATGTAATGTTCTTGATACAGAAAAATAAGCTCTAATTTAGCATTCCTAGAAGTCTACAACTAAGAGCATTGGCACCATGGCTTTGATCTTTGTATAATTGTTTCTTAGTTTGCAAAGAGTATTAAGCAACGATATTCATGCAAGGTTACAGTAAGGGTGTGTTTACTTTGAGCTCAACAGGAACAGAATGCAACCTTACTGGAATAGCCTCAAGAACTTCATAGGTATGATACAATCAGTATTTCAAAAAATAAGGAGAGGGCTACTTAATAAATGGAATCCTTATAAGTGTTTAGCCATTGCTCAGAAAAATGTGAATTCACTATACAATCATCTACCAGAATAAATTTCCACTACATGAGGTTAAATGTTTGCCTAGCATGTTTAAGACCCTGTTTAATCTCTAATACTACAGAAAGTATTTTTAAAAGCTGAATGTTAAAGCAGTTTAAACAGTGAAGTGAAAAAGAAACATAAAAGGCTATTGATTGGGTCTTAAAAACCAGAACCAGCACTCATCTACCAAAAAAGGGAGAGAAGCCAACAGCATGAACAGGCAACTCACAAAACATGATGTATACACAGCACAAACACAAAGAAAGTTCCACCTCAACTGGAAGTAAACAAAAACAAATTTATTGTTAACATTAGATGGGTAGATATTAGAAAGAATGAACCAGAATAGGTATAAATATGGGACCACAGACATCTCTTCAGTAACTAGTTGGAATATGAATTGTACAACTTCTCTGGAAGACACTGTGCCTCAAAGGCCCGTGATCCCCACCGTTACATTCTACAAAACAAACCTAAAGGATATGAATAAAAAAGTCCTAACCACAGGGTTGTTTCACAATATTGTTTATAATATTAAAAAACATTTTAATCAAGAACAGGTTGCCTAATTTGTGATACTCCTGCGTGCTAGAGATACTAGGCAACTAGTAAAAATGACCGTGTAAATAATAATGATCAGAAAAGCTGTGCATTGTCCATGGGAGTCCAGGGAAAGAGCTCCAAGACAGAGGTATAATGTCTGATCTTGGTTTTTGTAATAAGAAAATAAAGTCGGTTAAAAGAATAGAACCTCTGTAAATGTATGCATGCATTAAAAAATATAACCTAGAGTGCTTAGGTGGTAGGATTTGTTTTCTTGTTCTTGTTTATCAAGACTTTCCTTTGTGTTCTAAATATAAGGACAATATTTTGTAATAAAGGGAAAATAGGCCATTTTCTTAATTGTACCTGGATTTTCTTATTACTCTCCTACTTTTCTAGCTTTCAAGCCCAAACCTACTTACACTCTAGCTCAGTCATTCATCCCCAACTGACGGGCAACCTATGGTTGTCAGTTTTTCCTTGCACTTTTTGTTGTAATATACTTTTTTAAAATTAATTTTATTGGTACATTTTATATATACATAATGATCACATTCATCATAGGGAATTTGTACTTGTGCCTAATATATCTTGATTCTTTTATCCCCAGTTCCCTCCCCTCCCCTTAACACCTCTTCCTCTCCTTATTTATAAGAGCTTTATTTCCATTTTTTCTTCTATTCTTTTTCCTTTTCTTCCTTTCCCTCTCCCCTCCCCCTTGTTCCCATTCACATTTGAATATTTTCTTCCTATTTCACAATATCTGTTACACATTTTGGTCCTTAATTATTCTTTAGCTTTCTCACATCAGAAAAACAATGCAATATTTAAACATGTATATCCAATTTATTTCCCTTAAGAGTATGGTCTCAAGGTGCATCCATTTACCTAGAAATGCCTCAGGGTTATCCTTCATCATGGAAGAGTAGTACTCCATTGCATAAAAAAATGACCACATATTCTTTACCCATTTGTTAGCCGATGGGCATTTGGGCTGGTTCCAAGATTCAGCTATTATAAATTGTGCTGCTGTAAACATCCACGTGCATATGTCACTATGGTATCATGCTTTTAGTTCTTTGGGAAAGCACCAAGAAGGGGAATAGCTGAGACACATGGGACCTGTAGTTTTAGTTTTTTGAAGAATTGACACACTGATTTCCAAAGTGGTTGCACCAATCCATGCTCCCAAGTGACCTGCCTTAGACATCCACAGACGGTTCCCTGGAAGAGGTAGAGAAGGTGAATCGGCAGTAGTTCCATTTGGCTCTTTCCTTATCATCTTATATCTTCCATATGTGATAAGCTTGAAGTTCATGTAAGATATTTGGATAAAATTACTAACACGCTTCCCATGATGAGCACTTTTTCCTGTTTGCTTTAGAAGGTGGAATTATGCCTTCTTACTCTAAACTCAGTTTGCTGCAAGGTTTCTGTGGAGAGGCAGAAAGCTATAATAGTGCATTTTAATATGATATAACATTGTGTACATAGTGTATAATATTCTAAAATGGACAGATATATATCAGGGTTTTTGAAATCCTTTTCAAGTTCTTTCATATCTTCCTTCAATATAGCAAAGGAGCTTTCCCTTTTGAAGTTGGGCAGAGGAGGATCCCCTAAGGAAATCCCAGGAGTAATTTTCCCTGCTCCTAGAGCCAATGAGAAACAAGGGCCGGTGACCCCTCTTCCTGCTGGCCTCTCAGCTGCTGCACCTTTTCCTCGTGTTTCTCCACCCTGTGTCTTGTATGTGGTGTGCAACTCGGGCAGCTGACACTGCCGTGTGTTTGCCAACAGAACTACCTGGCACACGAGGAGCTCCTGATCGCAGTGGAGATGCTGTCTGCAGTGGCGTTGCTGAACCAGGCCTTGGAGAGCAACGATCTTGTGTCTGTGCAAAACCAACTCAGAAGCCCCTCGATAGGATTCAACAATCTGGACGAGGTGTACGTAGAACGGTAAGGGACCTTCTCCAAACCCTCGTTCAGCATAGAAATGCATGTTTGTCACTCTCACCTACTAAGAATTTCTTCCTCAGTGGAAAAAATATATATACCACACTCACGTTTCTTAAGGGCTAGCACTCTGTTTTAAGTATCTTTCTAACCAGAAGCCTTTTTTACAGTAATCCCTTAGGGGGCAAAAAAGAATCGTCTTTTAACAAAGGACTGACTTTGAAGTAGCAAAGATTATTAGATAAGCTAAAAACCCAGGAACTGCACACCTGTAATCCCAGCACTCTGGGAGCCTGAGGCAAGATTGCCAGTTCAAGTCCAGCCTAAGCAATTTAAAGATTTATCATGACTCTTAAGAAAAGGTAAAAAGGGCTGGAGACCTGGATTCAATCCCCAGTATTGGGGGAAAAATAGAGAAACTGATGAAAACGGACTTTCCCATAGGCTTTTTTTTTAATGTGATAACAGACTGTAAATGTTAGAAGCAACCTTAGTAATCAGCTAGTCCAATTTTTAAGTTTTATTGATAACGAAGCTGAACCTGGAGTGATGGTCCCAAAGTTGGGCAGGCAGGCCCTAACTCGGTTCTTCTGATTGTAAAACCAAGGCATCCTGAGAGCACGGTGGGTGTGACAGTGGGTAAGTGCATCAGTTTAGTGCTCTCATTTTGTGTTCCTCAAATGTTCTACTAAGATGGTACAGTTTATGCTGTTCTAAAACACTGTAGTGGATCTGGAGTGAAAATCAAGGGGCCAAAATTAGGAGCCAAATTAGAGTGTTGTTCTTTTCTTTTTTGGTGGTGGAGGTTGAACCACATCCTAAACAAGGGCCCTACCACTGAGCTACTCCCCTAGCCCAAATTAGAGATTCATTAAGACAAATGCTTGATTTAAAAGGAATGAATTAGAAGGAATGAACCTGGATTCTTCTGGCCACCAGGGGGCGATGTCTGCCCAGGTCTTCACAAAAGCTTTTGCTCTGGATGGACTTCTTTCCATTGGCTAATTGTCTTGGGTCACATACAGTTGCACAGGAAAAAATCTTAAGACTTATTAGATCTTAAACAATGGTGTTTGATCTCTGGTGTGCATAGAAAATGACCAAAGGGGAAGGATGGTGGCTTTCCTTGTTTTTAGCCTTCCTGGAGAAATGAATGTTCTTGCTCTAATTCATCTCAGCCCTTTGGTTCATGTAACTCCCAGAGTTTGCTTCCAAGTCCACTCATTTCCACCTCCGCTGTTTCCACTAATGGCACCACGTGCTCCAGCCCAGCACCCCCAGGCTCACCTCGCATTCCCTCTGCCCCCGCCGGCCCTGCATGTGCCTCTCGCCGGCCTGGGTCTCGGCTGCCTCTGCAGGCCCACGTCCCACCACTGCACACAGCCCTGGGGCCCCCTGCCCTGTTTCTGTTAAAACCTCCACAGTATGCTTCCTACCTCTTTCCTCCCTGATGTGTTCACCCTGAATTCTGACCCAGCCAGGCTTCGGGCACTCCTGACTCTGAGTAGAAGGCACAGCTGGTCACCCTTGGTGAAGCTGATATTCTAATGGGACATCTCAGGATGTCATTGTCAAGACTTCCACAAGCACTGCCCCACTGTCCTAGAGGACAGCAGCCCCTCCTACCGGCCTAGTTGCTTGTTTTGGTAATAAACTCCTCCTTTACAAATGCCCCCTATGGAAGTGGTCCAAGTCCACTTGAAAATTGCATTTATACCTATATTGGTCAGCTTCATGCTACTACAACAGAGTACCAGAGATAATTCACTTGAAAAGACAGGAGGTTCGTATGTTAGCTGCCCATCTGGAGTTTCTAGTTCATAATGTAGTCGAGGTAGCACATCATGGCAGAGTCCATGGCTCACCTCCTGAGCCAGGAAGCAAAAAGAAATGGACTGGGGTCCCATGGTCCCGCTTAGTGGTGTGCACCCCAAGACCTGGCCCTTCCTTCCATCGGGTCCACTGCCTCCCGGTAATAACCCCTGGGGACCAGGCCTTTAGCAGTGGACTTTTGGAGACCATTCATGCAAACCATAGCGGTACATGTGGTGGAAACTGAGGCCTGTAGAGGCAGAGCTCAAGAGTGCGTTATGAGAAATATTTAAAATGTGAGCATTTGAATGATTTCTTACAATTCAGTTTAAACATATTCTGGTCCTCCTGGGCAGCCACTTGGACCCAGCACCAACATGAAAGTTCAGAGTCCACTCCAGTCCTTATATGGGTGCATTGGCCCTGCATGATCTTCCACAGTTTCTGCATTTCACTTTTAAGGTCTGCCTCTCAACCTGGATTCCCAGAAGACCAGATTTTTAGGTTGCCAACTTGGAAATGCACTGTTCTATCCAGGGCCGCTCCTGTTTGGGGTCTTCATAGCCCAAGGGGGCTAGGCAGGGCCACCTTCATCAAGTCGTGAAAAACCTCTGCCTATTCACCATGGCTTCCAGTCCTGGGTCTCTGCTCACCCAGAAGGATTCTTTGTCTAATCCTCCCCAAAGCGACATGTGGGATAGCCTTGGCTCTGTGTAGCCACTGTTCCCAGATTAATTATTCTAAAATGTAGCTGTGTGTATTCTAGTTAGTTGTTCTTTGTCCTTATCTGAGTGGAGGGCTGACTGCAAAGTTGCTTTCTGACCTTGGCTCTGTCTACAACTGGGATTTTGCACTTTGGCCAAGCTTGATCTGACCACACTGTGGATTTGCGGGCCTGTTCGTTCCTGTGCCAGCTTCTCTGGCCACCAGGAGCTTAGCACTCCCACGCACTGCTCAGCCGGGTGTCAAAGCCTTGCCTGGTGCAGATGATGAGTCCATGAGTTACCTCCATGCTTTCCCTCATCTTGGCGAAGTTCTGTTTTCTTAGAGCCAGCGTGAGGTGGTTAGAGGAATATTCTGAGTGCAACCTTCCCTGGCTAAGGCCTTTATTGTTCATCTGTAAAGCACAAAACATGAATGAAACAACCAGAAGAGCCACTCTGCAGCTTAGACCCATCTGAAAGACTGAGCACCTGGTTCAGTGCCTGCCTCAGGGAAGGTGCCCAAGGGGTAAGAATTCCTCTCCATTCTCGGTGCCTTGAACCCAGCACACCTACTCTTAGGGACTGTCTCTACTTCGATGTCCTTCCCTGTGCCCTGGTTTTATGTCCTTTTACACTGGTGTCTTCTTACCCTCTGGGCTGAGTGGTCCTGCAAGTGGAGGGTGTGGGTGGGTCCTCCCTGCCGCCCTGCAGTGCTGGCATCCGCTGAGCTCAGTTGGGTTGCTGTCTTCTCAGTGTCCCTGGTCTGTTAGATCGCTAGCCTGACCAGTCTGTCCGCTGCGGAAGGCAAAGAGAGCTCGGGAATGCAGGACAGAGACCTGTTTGGGTAGACTATGGAATCGTTCCCAAAGCTGATTCCATCAGTTGTGAAGACTCGTATTCATTGGGAAAAGCCCGGGGAGCTCTGTGAAGTTCCTCCTAAAATCTTTTCCTTTTGCCAGGTGGTGTTCATTTCCAAACGGAAGACGGGGCTTGCAAGTTCTCCTGTGTCCATTCGTAGGCATTCTCACCTTACTCTTGGGGGACCTCATTTCAATGTTAAGCATATGAAACATGTAGAAGAATTTTGCACTTCCTTATAGAATGGCCCTGACCTATAAGGGCCACCAGCTGGTATAAGCTGCCGCTTCTTTCTGTTGTAATTGCTGTCAGTATCATTCAGCATGTGCTGTATCCATAGTGTAGCAGAGTATTTTCTTAGGCCCATAACTTGGTAAAGGAAAAATCTCACCCATAACCTTGAGCCAGTTTCCGGTCTGTGTAGGTGGGACCTCATCCAGTTACAGACAGCAAATCGTTAGAGCCATATCCTGTTTTGAATAAGGCTCTTCACTCAAGCTACTTTTGTGGAAGACATTTCAGTGTAACCTTGAAGAATGGGAAAGGTTGAGAAAATGTACCACACAACCATGAAAACAGTTTTACACTGGAAGTGTTCCTTCTTTGAGACTCTGCTGTCAGCAGGTCCCCACGGCTGCTTGGCAGTGGAACCGCGAGTGGGTCCCTGCTGGTGTACAGGGAGGACCATTTGTCATTTCCCTGCTGTGAAGCTGCAAACGCAAACTCAACTCTGGAGTTGCTTTACTTCCGGCTGCCTTGTTTATGTTAGCCTGCAGTTACAACATAGCTTTGCTGTTGTGTCTTTGTTTATTGTGTGGCTGGGGAGGGAACCCAGGCCCTCACCCCCGCTAAAGAAGTGCTCTGCCACTGAGCTACATCTCCAGTCCTGGCTCTTTGACTTTTATAGCAAAATTGATGATTGACAAATGAGTGTTTCTTATAATATATCAAGATGGGTGAGGTTTTCTCTAAAACTTCTCTAGACCGGAAAGAATAATCAGAGCGGTAACCAGAGTCTGTTTTCCAGTAGTTGTGTACAGTGAGGCGGGTCAAGGGTCCAAAGTCAGCACAGAGAAGGGAGGGTTTGAGTCATGGCCATGGAGCCCTCAGGGAAACAGACATGGTAAGAAACTTTAGGACAGTGTGACTCAACTCATGCAGCATCTTTGAGGAAATGTGCAGCGAAAGGCTGTCACTCATCAAGCTTTCTGGAAGGACATTTCATTTTCTTTGATTCCTCGTGAGCATAGGACTCAAGGTAGCTGAGAGCTGTATTAGGGGTCCAGCAGAAAAGCTCAGGCTATGAAAGGAACAAGAAAAGAGGAGAAAGGGAAGGGAAGGGAAGGGTGGGGCGGGGCGGGGAGGGGAGGATTCTTGATCACAGAAGGTGTTGACAGATATGGTACTTTTGAATTTTATTACAGAATAGTCACCTGAAAACCGGGTAGACCCAAGATATGCACAAGGGAGGAAAATTAGTGAGTAGGAAAAACAATAATTTCCCAGAATTGAGAACTTGTAGTTCTTCTTGACTTAGGTACAAGGTTGGGTTTTGGGGACTTCCATTAAACAAAAATTTTTTAACACAAAAATACTTTTCAGAAAACCCACCAATAGAAGTGGGTTGGATGTGTCTTGATAAAGCCCCAAGAGATGATTTTGCTTGCCTTTTTCCTCTTTGCCTAACTTTATGTCATCTATACTTGGCCATATATGTCAAAGTTAGAACAGGTAGCATAGCCAAGAGTGGTAGTTCACGCCTATAATCCCTGCACTGGGGGAGGCGGGGGCAGGAGAATCACAAGTTTGAACCCCGCCTGGGAAACTTAATGACTGACTTAGTGATACCCTGTCTCAAAATTTAAAAACAAAAAAAGTAGGAAACATGAGCGAGAATGAACGGATGTCTGACTGGGGTCTTTCTTGCATTCTCTCCCACAGTTACGCGAGCGCACTGCTTTCCTTTAAACTAGAAGCCTCCTCCCAAGGGCAAGACAATTTAAGCTGGAATGAGATTCAGAACTGCATTGATATGATTAATGCTCAAATTCAAGAAGAGAATGACCGTAAGTATGGGGCACTTTCCTTTTTCTAGCTTAGTGGAAGAATAAGGTATCTAGACAAAATAATTTCCTGGATTAAAGTTGCAAGTTTTTGCTCGTGGAAGCTTCCAAGGACACACTCTTCATGTGCTACATTTATATATAACATGTTATAAACGTTGCCAGGTATACACAAAGAGACATAAAAGGATAGAAAATATGTAAGTAGAAAGCCTAGTAACTTTCTTATCTAGAAAAGACTATTCTAGGTAACTTAGCTTTTTTAAGCACCTGACTTTATTTCAGCCTTTCTTTTGGGCATTTTCCTGAAAGTTGACATAGTTTCTTGTCCCACGAATGAAGGACTTGGAATGTAACTTAGCTCTGTGATGTGCTGCGCTTCTAAACTTTTGCCCAAGAAGCGTGAAAATGGAGTAAGCCCATGTGGAGAGGCCCTGAAGCAAGCTTTCTTGGCTGTTTCCTCGCTTCCTTGTCCTTTGCCTCTTGTATATTAAAACAGAGTGGAGAATGAGGTGCTGTCTGACTTCAGCCGTCAGTTTATTTGTTGCTTTTCTGTAGCATGAATGTCCAAAATTCAAGCTTCAAGCTGCCTTCTCCATCATAAAAAGCAAACCAACCCCCTCTTCTTTGGATTCCAAGCTCTTGGGCTTGTTAGCAACAGTGAGTGTACAATTGCTAAAATCATCAACCTCCATCGGTTTCTGACTCGGACTTCCCGAGCTTACTTGCTTGGAACTTGCCGACTGACGGAGCTGGCAGAAACTCCTCTCTCGGGCTCCAGTGTTTTGTACTAGTGTTGGGATAGGGTCTCAGGCCTGGTCTCCTAACACTGTATCTAACTTTTGAAAAGTAAAATCATGCTTAAAATAAAGCATAAGATTTTGTTAGTTAATTGCCTTTACATAGTTTTCTTGCTTTGATTTGCTGTTTCCTGTGAGCACCATGCCAAAAATCAAAGCCCTTTTTGGTTTTATGTTTTTGAACGTCTTCTGACTCTGGGGTCCGACCATGAAACAAGATCCAGGAGTGCTGCCCTGACCTGGTGTGCACCAGAAGCGCCATGGTCACAGTGATCCCTGCACACTTTCTTATTTTTTCTTTTTTTCAAGTTTTATGCACATCTGAATTTTCTCTTAGGGGAACACAGAGGTTTCTGTTGAATTTCTGAATTTCCTGTCAGGGAGGCATTTGAAATCTCTGCAGAGAGACTCAGCCTGCTCAGCCCTCTCTGGCTTTTGCCAGATGTTAGTCCAGAGGGAAGCACTGGGTTGAGCAGATGTTCGTGGGCGGGGGGACCCCTGCCTGGTATGTGCTGGCACAAAACAGCCCCTGGCCCTCTGCCCTCCTCTGGACCCCAGCCCTACACCCTGTCTCCTGCTGCCATGGTCTAGTGTGATGGCTGATGCCCCCAAAGGGCAGCACTTCTGATGTTTGCTGGGCAAAGTGCAGAATCAAGTTCCACTGCCTTCCTAGCTCTCCACCTCCTTCCCAGCACCCCAGGCCAGGCTCAGCGCATGCGCACACCCAGGTGAAGGGGCGGGAGCTCCCGGTGCTGAAGCGCCCCGCACCTCTGCCCTCCTCCTGTACCAAAAGGGGTGCCACTGACGCGTGTCAGGCAGAACCTTTGCTTTGTCAGGAAAAGACAAATGAGTGGCGTCTGTGTGACTTTGACAGCAGCCTTGTGAGACTATACTTTGTGAAAGTCTCTTGCCGGCCGAGGTGTCTGCCCACCTGCGTACGTGACTGCTGAGCTGCTGTGCAGCAGACACAGCTCCGGGCCTCACCTCTGTTAAACATCTCATCAGGACGGGCACAGGCGGCCAGCAGAGTGACTCCCTCAGAGAGGGACCCTTCCATTCAAGGGTTTAGGAACTTTAATCACGAGGTGTCAACTATATCTGTGTTTTGGCTTGAATTTTTTCCCTTCTGTTACATGGAAGTATTTTTGTTTAAAGTTCTTGAAATATTAAGTTTGGTATCCCGTATGTAAATAATTGCTTAAAAGGCTGAATTTTACAGAATGTGCTATAATAAAGCAATAAGATTTACACACTGCACTAGTGAAGTGGTCTGAAGGAGACACGCAGAACTTTTCTTGGCACTCTGGAAGTGCAGTGCTTCCCCCCCGCCCCTACTCCCTGCCACACCGCAGAGGCTCATGCAGTGTGGCCTGGATGGGCCGGGTATGCAGTGAGGAAAACACGGAGGAGCAGCTGCTACCTAGTTTCCTTAGCCTCCTGTACTCTTTGGATTTCTCACTGAAAAGCTCACTTTCCCTAATGGAATGCACAGAGGAACATTATTTTAACTATGTAGCCTAAACAAGGGAGTTTTACTTTCTATATTTGGCAGGCACCATCCTTTGTAGGTTATTTCATCCACTGTCTGAAATACGGGAGTTCTCAGAGGACATCCACCTTCTCACTGTTCTGGAATGTTGCGGGATTACACTTTGATTCAAAGAAGTGAGCTTTGAATCATGGACTGAGACTCAACAATCTTTGTTCATATGGCATTTTTTTTTTTACTTGTATAAACACAGAACGTGAGGCAGATGTGCAGGAGTGGGGGTGGGGGAATTGGGTAGGCCTTTGAGCTCCTATGAGGTCATTTACTATGACCTCAGCAGCTTGGCCTCTTAGACACACACCCAGAATTTACACAGGTGATTCCCGCCAAGTCAGCTGGAATGCACTCACTGCCAGGTGATCGGCTGTTAGGATGTGTGTACACTGCGTATTTAAGTCCCACCGCCTGGAGTAACTTCCAGGAGTTTTAGATTATTCTTTTCCTGTTACGGATAAATATTTTCATTCTTAGCAAGGTGGTATTTATAGGGTTTTCTTTTTAGAAAATGATTAGCTAAATATCTTACCTTAATTTGAACATCAAGATACACTTTATAAAACTTAGACATATCCATTCTGTTCCATGGCATATTACATTTGTAAAGTAGCTTGTGATAACATTTGATGAAAAATAACTGGGAAAGTGAAAAGAAAGAAGTATGTCCCTAAGAATGTTTGTTTTCCTGGCTCGTTGCTTGTTAACGTCTAGCTTCTTTACTAGCTATTGCTCATTAGCACTGGACTGTGGAATAGAAGTCCCCTCCTAGCATGTTTGTGTGTGTGGGAATGAATGTATACGTATACAAATGCACTGTTATTTTATGACTAGGTGATAGTTTATTTTCAATAATAAGGTGGTAGTGAGACAAGGCTTCCAAGTCCACTGTTTTGAGAATTCTGTAAACTTCTCAGACTCCATACCTTGACTTCTCTACTTTTTATTCTTGAACCTTACAGTTTATATTCTAAAACCATCTGATGTGTTAAAGATGGTAAAAGTTTAACCACAAGATGTTCTTCCTCATCCTTCAGCTTATTTGTAAGTTAGGGCTCCAGGCATATTTAGTTACCTGTTACATAAATAATATGTGAAATTCTCTATATTTGATCTTGAAAAGTATCCAAAATATGCCTCACTATGTTTATTTCTACAGAGCCTACATATATTTCCCAGCCATATGTGGCTGCTTAAATGTAATTGAATTGAAGTTAGGCAAAATTTAAGTTTGTCTCTTCAGTGACACTAACCACATGTTGTGTGCTCAAAAGATACCTGTGGCTGATGGCTGCTGCGCGGGGCAGCACAGAAAGAGGACGTTTTCCGTTACCACACAGAGCTGTGTGGAACAGCGCTGGGCGATACTGTGCAGATATCCACTCTCCTGCTTATTACCACTGCAGGGCACTGCTTGACTTTGAACAGTTTTGGCAGCCTTTACGCAGTGCTAGTGTAATCTGAAGAATAAAATAGCATGTGTATCCAAACGGTTTCACCCTTGTTTTCCTTGCTGTACAGCTCTACCTTCCATTTTCCCAGCTCTAGTGTTCCACGATTCTGGCATCCAGTATCTTGGCATTACTATCATAGTGCCTGAGTGAGGGTTATTCTAGAAGTGGAGTCCCCGTTGCTGTTCATATGAAAAACTATTGAGCCTTATAGTTTATAGTCTAAGATCATTTGATGTGTTAAAGATGGTAGAAATTAAACAGGAAAAATTATGTCCCCCTTTTTAATGGTAGTTTTATTAAAATATAGTTTATATATCATAAAATTCATTCTTTTGCAACCTAATTGGCCTTTTGTGTCTCTTCCCTTAATATTTTCAGGGTCCACCCTTTCTGTGTCACATACCAGTGTGCTTCATTTTCCACTCTAGAATATTCTAGCTTGGGGCTTCAGTTTGTTTTATCCATTCATCAGTTGCTGGAAATTTGATCTGTTTCTGTTTTTTCACTGTTATAAATAATGCTACAGTAAACATTCCTGCCCACATTTTTATGTGGACCTGTATTTTCATCTGAGCATACAGTTAGAAGTAGAATTGCTAGGTCATATGGTAGTTCTGTGTTTAACATTTTAAGGACCTTTCCAGCTGTTTTCCAGGATGACTGAACCATCTTGAATTCCCACCAGCAAGGTAGGAGGGTCTCAGTTTCTCCTTGCTCTCACCAGCACTTGTTACTGCCTTTTCTGTTATAGCCCTGCTAGTGGGAACAAAGTGAACTTACATTCCATAAAGACTCATGATGGCAAACATCTTTCTATGTGCTCGTAGCATTTGTGTATCTTCTTTAAAGAAATATCTGCTTAAATTCTTTATTTGTTTGTTTGTTTTTGATTGTTTGTTTTTTTGAGACAGGGTCTCACTATACAATTCAGGCTGGCCTTGAGCTCACTTTGTAGCCTAGGCTGGCCTCAAACTCACGGTGATCCTCCTGCCTCAGCCTCCCGAGTGCAGGGATTACAGACATGTGCCACCACAGCTGGCTTAAATTCTTTATCAAATGTAAATTACATTATTTGTCTCCTTTTTGTTGAGTTATAAGCACTCTCTACACAGTATATCCAATGCACAAGTCATTTTATTAGATATAAGACTTGCAGATATTTTCTCTCATTCTTTGTCTTTTGCTTTCTTTCATAATGTCTTTTAAAGCACAAAAAGTTTAATTTTCACAAATTCACATTTATTTACTTTTATTGTTTGTATTTAAGGAACATAGCTTTAAAAAAATGCCTAGCCCAAGATCACGAAGATTTACTTGTTTGTGTTTGTCTAAGAGTTTTATAATTTTAACTTTTGCACTTAGACCTACCATTCACTTTGAGTGAACTTTTTGTGCATGGTGTGATTAGTGGAGGGGTCCAACTTCCTTCTCTGGATGTGCATGTCTCGTCATCCAGCACCATTTGTTATAAAGGCTGTTTTCTTTACCCATTGAATTGTCTTACCCCTTTGTTTAAAAAAATCAGTTGATGTTAAGTATAATGATTTATTTCTAGACTTGCAGTTCATCTTGATCTAAGTGTTTATGCCATGCCAGGACTGTGCAGTATTAATTCCTGTCACATAGTAGGATGTTTTGAAACGGGAAAAGTCCTTCAACTGTTTTCTTCTTTCTTTCAAGATTGCAATGATTATTTTTATTTCCTTGCATTTCCACATGTGAATTTCAAGATCAGGTTGTCAATTTTTTTTAAGTCAGTGGCATTTTTATAAGAGTTGCATCAGCCATGTGGATCAATCGGAGGAGTATTTCCACTTTCACAATATTAAATCTTCCAAGCTACAGACATTGAAGGCCTTCCATTTGTTTAAGTTATCTTAATTTTTTTCATGGTGTTTCATAGCTTTCCATGTACATGCCATGTGCTTCTTTTGTTAAAGTATTCCTTAATATTTTTTCTTTGTGTGATTGAAATTTATTTGTAATTGGAATCTATTGCAATTGAAGTTTTTAATTTTTTTATTTGAAGTTTGAACATTATGAGAATGTAGAAGAACATTGAATTTTACATTGATCTTGTATCAGTTTTCCTACACTTGCTTACTAGCTCCTTGTAATGTGTAAGATAGAGAATGTACGTATAATGTACTATGCCTTAAAGGGAATTTTTTCCTTTATTTTCTAGGAATTGTAGCTGTAGGATACATCAATGAAGCTATAGATGAAGGGAATCCTTTGAAGACTTTAGACACCTTGTTGTTACCTAATGCTAAGATCAGAGATGTGGACCCCGCCCGTGCCCAGCACTACCAAGATGTTTTGCACCATGCAAAATCACAAAAACTCATGGTAGGTTTTAGTATGTTTGCTTCTTTTATGTTTATAGGCCAGATGGGGAGTGAGAGGATTTTTGATCCATTTTTTAAAAACCTGAGTTTCTCATCCCAGTGAATCAGAGTGGAGACAATAGAGCCATTATTGTCCTGGTGCCAAACATTAGAAAGTCCAGCTTCAGAGTTCGCTCTTGCACCCTTTCTTTCATTTAAAGCTCAGTTGTAGGTGAGTTCTTCAGAGTCCAATCCTAGGAGATTTCTGTGCGTACCGTACACTCTGTGGCATTTGGTAAGAAGGGGGCAGAGGGGACACGTGACACCCTGTGAGTGGTCTCTGTCGTCATTGCCAACGTGTGTGGGACTGACTGAGGCAGAGGGCAGGAGAGGTGAGTGTGCAGCGAAGTTTCGAAGACATGGATTTGGAGAGTGGGAATGGCATGCTCTAGGATCCTAAGAGTGGTAGAGCAGGGGTAGGAGAGGAGCTATGCACGATGGGAAAGGAAGAGTTGGCCTGGTGGGGTGAGGGTGGTGTGATGCAGGCGGGAAGCTCCGTGCGCAGAGGGGACAGCAGCTTTGGCCTGGACATGGCAGCGGCTGGCCAGGCTGGAGCCTCCTGCCAAAGCAGGGACATTTATCTAGACACAGCGCTTGTCCTGATGACGGAAGGGGTACCACAGAGAACAGCCTCTCCTAGAAGGGAACTGGGTTGAATGTTCACTTTCAGGCCCTGTCACCAGAGGAGATTGATAAGGATGACACATAGGTGGGGCCTCACTACTGGTGGCTGCCATGTCCCCAGCTCCAAGCCCAACTGAAAGGGTATTTCCTCTGTCTTTAGAACCCAGGAACTACCTCATCCAAAACAGGAAAAACACCACTGGTTTGAGCAAGTATTTATTGAGCACCTTTTCTTTTCCAGGCATGATAGTGGGTATTTTATACAGCTATCTCATTTAATCATTATAGCAATTCATAACAGCCCCCAAGGCATTTCACCATCACTACCGCGATCTTACAGGTAATGAAATTAGGGTTAAATAATTTAGGATTAATAATTAAATAATTAGGATTAAATAACCAAATCCACCCAAAGGTGATTACTTCTGGGACTACGACCATGTCTGTGTGATTCAGAATCATGGATTATTAAGGGATGTTTATTGCAGCTTTGTTTGCAGTAGCAAAAATTAAAAATGACCTAAATGTTGTAAAGGAAAAAACACATGCTCCTATGCACATAAAAACAGGAAATGCATGCCCAGGACAGGGGAGACATGCACACTTACATGCGCATAAAGTAGTTCTGGAAGGAGAAGCTTCTGGAAATTGATCTAGAAGTCTGGGGTAGATGGGAGCTTTCTTTTTCATTCTGTGTTTTTCTGTCATTTGGATTTTTAATTTTTTTAGACAAATGTCTAGTAAAGTTGGTGTTTCTAAACTTTTAAAGACCAATGTAAACCCTGTTCACTCCACACTCCTAAGCTGACACACTGAAGGTGGTGGGAACAGTGGCCAAGGCGGAGCCCGCTGCCACTCTGGTGGTGGCACTGCCCTCCCCCGGGTGCTCCCAAATGCTCACACTTCCGCAGTGCAGGCTGGAAGCTCTCTCCCCTGATGTGGGTGTGCCTAGGGCTCAGGATGAATGCCAGGGTGAGAGACAGCCAGACAATGGGACAGCGAAGGCCCACACCCAAGCCTCATGGCCCCACACCCACAGGGAGGAGAATGGCCTGCTCCTCGCAGTGCCTGCCAAGGTGGCCATATCCATGCTATATGGAAAAATTATCAGTGTTGACAGAGGAAGTTACTTACTTTGGAGATAAGCACCACTTGGGTACTGGCTGTGTGATCTTGGTCTAGTCACATGTCTATATAATTATTTTTATGTATGAAAAATAGGAATAATAACACCTGCCTTATAGGATTATAGTGACGGTCAAATGAGAATACATATATATATAATAAACCATTGTACCATTTTATATATGTATGTGTGTGTGTACATTTGTATGTTTGTGTCTATAGCATTTACATGGAACCTGGCACCAAAACAACTGCTTAAATTACATAGCTAATTTATTGTGGGTATTTAGGGGTAAATGATGTCTATATACCAAGTCTTTGTATGACACAGGGTCTGCTCTGTCTACATACGTGTTGAGCTAAGCCTGACTCCACAGGACCATGGCCTTTCATAGGCAGGCATCATGGGTCCCTTCCTAAGTTTTCCAGTTGAAGTCTTTGAATCAAGATGGCAGCCCATGGGACCCCACCTGTGGCAGCCATGGGTTGGGCAGTTACCTATGTGTGGAATGGTGTGTAACATTCTGAATTTTACATATGGAGCCAGGTACCTTGGAGCTAGCTCAAGAATCAAACCACTTTTGACCTGTAAATCTAGGGGCTTAAACTCTATTGAGCATGGCTAACTGATTTGAAACACTAATTCTGATGCCTCAGATTTGGTTAAGTTGTGGTTTTTAAATAGTTCTCAATCTAATCTTTTTCCTTAGAAATATATGATTCTGTTATTTGTTTGGCTGAGTCTTAGTTTTCTTTTTAACTGCTGCTGTTTTGATTCCGGAACATTGGCAGTATATTCATAGTGCAGCATTTCTGTGCCTTGCGTTGGCCAGGGTTTGGCCTTGGAAAGTAACAGAAGGCAATTATATTGCTGGCATTATTGGTGTATAGCAAAGCTTGTTCCAAGGTATGCACCATTAAAGGTTTTGAAGGGTGACATCTTCACAGAATGAATGAACATCAAAGACCAAGGACAGTGATATAAGCTAGTGAGGGTTTTAAAGAACCCTGTGAGGCATTTTGCAAAGAACAATCAACAGGTGAGGCAGCCATCAGAAGACCCAAAAATGACGTTGAATTCCAAGGTGGCAACACTCACAGGTTAAGGAAAGAAGAAATTTAAGATCTTGAAGTACCAATAAGGCCAATGAAATATGTCCATTGCTATAAAGAAAATAGTGATAAATTTTCTCCTGCATTGGCATTCTTCAAATACTGATAAAGTATTTAAAGCTTTTATATATTTAATATTTGAAGCACTGTTTCTTAGGAACTCAACAGTGGAGCTAGAGAACAAAAGTCCTTGCGCTACGTATGTTATCCTAGCATGCATGTTTTCCACAGTTTTCTTTCTTCTCGAAGATATGCTCACCATTGAGAGATAAAAAGTGGACCGATGTACAATTTTTCCCTTGCATGTGAATTTTCTCCCTTACCTTTCTGTCTATTTTAGCTTTTAGATTAAAAAAAACTTTACCCAGGCCTCTCCCTCTCCCGTGCCCTCCCCCACAGTACTGGGGGTTAAACCCAGGGCCCCACCTGTGTGAAGAAAGCACTCTGTCACTGAGCTACATTCTCAACTGCTCTGTGACTTTTGACATGAGAAAATAAAGGAATGGATTTAGGCAGCTATTCAGGCTACCTAGGCACAACCCTACAAGATAGATAACATACAAGCCTTTACTGTTGTTGGAATAGTAGTTAGCATGGTAAATGATAAATATAATATTGCTTGGAACAAAACAAATGGTAAAAACCACAAGGATAAGGAGAATTGCCTTGATATACCTCAGCAGCTTAGGATCATGTACATTAAGTTGGCAGATGATGTTTGTGTAGCAGTAAATAATAATCACAAGTGGAATCAAGAATCCAAAGACAGTCAAGGCGATGAAGTGGTAGCGGTGGAAAGGAGATGAAGACTCACATGTGCTGTGGACATCAGGGCAGGTGCTATTTGGCTGAACAAGATAATCCCTCTGCCTATGGATGAACAATGGCAGCATGTATAAGAAGACTGTTGCCCACACCAGTCCACATGCTAGCGAAGCAAAGGTGCACTTGGACAGCCTCCGGAACATGAAAGGGTGGATGATGGCCAGGTACCGGTTGATGCTCATGCAGGTGAGGAGCAGAATAGAGCAGTACATGTTGCCATAGAAGATTACCGTAATGGCCCAGCACATGACCTCTCCAAATACCCAGTGGTTCCCAGTGAGGTGGTAAGCTACTTTAAATGGCAGTGTCATGCAGAAGAGAGTATCTGCAATAGCCAGGTTAGCATGGAAGATGGCGATGGAGGTGGTCTTGAAGAAAACTTTCCACAGGGTCACAGCATTGGCCGGCAGACCAACCACAAACACCAGCAGATAGATGGTGGGCATCACCTTGGAACTTAAGAAACTGCTCAGGTACCCTATGGTAGCATTACTCACATGCAGATTTGAAACATTTCCTTCAAGACACTTCATTTTTGCAGTTATGTTGGCTCCTGTCCAGCCTTCTCTGGCAGAAAGGGGGAAGTCTACAGAAGAATTTGGGGGAGCTCCATGGAGAGTCTTAATAGTTGAGGTTGGTGTTGCCAGGGTGTCGTTTTCCTTGCCTGTAATTGAAAGGAAATATTAACACATGATTCGTCGCTAAGGTATGGCTATGGTTTTGATGAAGGTAGAGTGAAGTTTTTATCCTACATAATTTCTGTGGCTGTAGAGTTTAGGGATATTTTATTTAAAAAAATTATTACAGATCAAGCAATCACCAGGCATGTATGTAGTATGTATCATATGTCCTAGCATCATGCTATCCCATGCAGGAACAAATGCTAGAAAAAGCAGCTTCTTGCATGTGAGGAGTTTATAATACTGCTGGAAGAAACATCAGGAGCCCCAGAGAGCGTGACAGGCAAATGTTCTGGTGACTGTAAGTTATCCAGGTGATCAGACAGCAGTTGACAGATTCAGGTATTTGAGCACAATGCTAAGGAAAGGGTAAACTTGAGCAAAGGTGAGCAAAGCTTAGGAAGACCGGAATTTAACTCAGAATTAGAGTCTGTTGATGATGACTGGGCAAAGACATGGTAGGCTGGCATAGGATCCGAGACTATAAGGTAGCTTGATTCAGAAAATGTTTGTTACATGCCGCTGTGCTGGTGTTATAAAGCTTCAAATAAACTGCAATGCTGTCTGTAGGTAACTCCTATTGGACTGCTGGGGAACATGCTATAAAAGCACATCCAACAGGTGAAGTTCAAAAGTAGATTATACTCAGATTCTTTCATGGCCTCAAGCTGTCAAAATCATGGACTTTTCCCTAGAGACTGGGGCTGTCAGAGAAATGACCATTGTAATAGACAAAATAACCTCCCAAATTCTACCTGCAAATGCTCGGAACCCAGTCCGTTGACAGAAGGGTCTTTGTAGGGGTGACAGTTAAGATCTGGAGATGAGGAAAGTACCCTGATAAACTGGTGTTGCTTGAAGCACCCAATTCATGATCATTGCCATAGCAGCAATAGGAAACTAATATAGTCATGATTTTGACCTGTGTGTAAGATGACTTTGATAGTAGTGTAGAGAATAGATTATAAAGGTAAGAAATTGAAGGCAGAGGGGCCTGATTTGGAGGCTGCTATAACCAGTCAGAGTCTAAGGATGGTGAGTTACTGAATAGAGGCAATGGTGTGGGAAGGCAAAGCTGACCATGGGAAGCTGAGTAGTTCTCAAAGGGACTCAGCACCTGATTGGCTGCTGGACAGCGAGAAAGGAGCAGGTGCTGGATGAACCAAGACTTCCCCTTTGAGTACCTGAGAGCAGACAGGAGACAAGGGATGAGATGGGAAGGAAATTACAGTTTTTGCTTTGGCTATTACTGAGGTGGAGTTGCTGATGAAATATTAGTGTGTAAAATGCCCAGAGGCTGACTACAAGACAACTGGTGAATTCTAGATTTCCAAGGGACCAAATCAGAGGTCTGGATTTTTTAGTCTACATACAAGCTACTATTTAATTTGCAAGAAGTACTGGAGATACCTAGGAAGAGATGTGAGAAGAAAGAATCCCAAGGTAACTTTAGAGAAATGGTGAGATTTTAAGACAAAGGAAGAAAAATCAGAAGATGAAATCACTATTAGGATGTAAGAAGCTACAAAGGAATTTTTGAAAAGGGAAGAAATATATCAACCATATATTATAGTTGGCATTGCTTGACATGATGTTAACAATCTTAACTCTTGAAATTTCTCTTTAAATAAACCTTAACACTCAAACCTGTTTATCACTGCATAATTTTTACACAAATTAGTCACTGACGTGTAGAAAATAGATTCCCCTTTAAGGTAGGGTCCTAGGGCATAGCAACATGGCTGGAGCCATTGGGCACAACCTGCTAGTTGAAGAGATTTGGTAACCACGGGCACAGAGCAGCAGCTCCCAAGCCGGACATGGGATCAAAGCCAGCCTGGTACCAATCTTCTGACGTGAAAACACACCAAGTCTGACACCTGATGCCAATCTTCTAGCATGAGATCAAGTGGATCCACCTCAATCAACTGTCCAAGAAGAAGTAACAAGATGGCAGCAATTGCCTTTGGCACCATTGCTGTTTTGCAGTGGTCTGTTCTGCCTGTAGGACGCATCTGCTCTTTCTCCTTCCAACGACCCTTTTCTCCCTGAACACATCTTTTGGGATTCTTCTCTTTTTCTTCTTATTTTTGACCTGAACAAATGTTAATCTTTCATGTTCACCAGTCCTTCTGTCCAGTTCATTGAATGGAACAGTAGGAACCTGGACAGCCCTGCTGGTCCCCACACCACCTGGAACAGTGATGTATAAAGTTAAGATCAGCTTCTATATCACATATAAACTTCATATTTACCGATTTAGGATGCCAGGAGTGTACCAGTTGTGAACTGTCACATGACCTTTAAATTTGTGTTGAATAGTCAAGGTTCATGTCTAGTGACGTTTTCATTCAGAGCTACTTTCTCTTTCAGTTTTAATCTTTTGTGGTTTCTCCTGGGTAAAACTGAAGCCTCCCACATCACCTTGTCTGTGTCCAGGATGTAAAAGGTGTAATTTGGATGAGGGGGACACGCAATGATCAGGGGTCTGTTAAGGAGAAGTACGTAGGAGTGAAGGAAGGAGGAACTTGGAAGGTGACCTCCTTCTGCAACTGTGTTTCCATGTGATCAGTTGAAAGCATGACGTGACACTAGCTCAGCACACTTTTGTATTTTGGGAATTGTGCTTGACATCGCCCAGAGCAGAGTGTTTTTAGAGATTAGAGATAGGCAGAAAGCTAGCAAGCAGAAGCTGTAGACCATATTGTTCATGCCTTCAAGGTCTGATAAGAAAACTGTTGAAACAAACGATTTGTCAGCTTTCAGAAAATTCTGTGATTGAGCAAGATACTGTGCATGAAAAATGGTAAACAGTGAAAGTGTTTGTGGAGAAGTTGAACTGGTTCCATTTTCCTTTAGAATTCCAATCTGGTCCCACTTAAATAAGTGTTTTAATTCTCCAAGGCTGGTTTTCCTGTAGAAGACTGCTTATTGTTTTCTTTTCCAGGGAACTTATTTGAATTCTTTATACAGGTTTCCATTTGGCATAATGTTTCTGAAATGTTTTCAACCTGGGAAAAGGCCTTGGGGAAGAGCTATTCTGAGGGGACTGGACTTCAGGTGCTGAGTGATAGGTTCTTCCTTCTCATCTCCCCCACCCCATCAAAGAAAGCAAATTCACGCCCTTTACTTGGTCTCCTCTAACGTTCCCCCTTTTCACTTCCACTAAACCCCAGTAGCACCTTGAAGGAACCTCTTCACAAACCTCATATTGTTTGCAACTCTGCTGCCCAGATTTTTGGCTCATGTGCTCCCAGAGAGAGCCTGGACCGATCCATCCACAAATCCCACACATGCTGCTGTCTACAGGTTCCCTGGGAACCTTCTGCAGCGACCTCAGGGGTTCCAGCTATCAGGGTAAGCAATGTTCCTTTACAGAAGGTGGGTTTTTGATTAGTTTTGTTTTGTTCCCCCTAGTTGCATCTCCCCACCTTCTCCTCACAACTGATACAGACCAGTCCCGGACTGGCTAATTTTGGAGTAAGCAGGAGGCAACCGGCTTGCATTGTGGCGAAAGAAATAAGAAACATATTTCTGGTGGTGTAATACTATTGGGAAATCTTATTTCTAAAATTTTAAAAAGATCATTTATGAGGGTACAGGGAGCCCCCTGGTACTACTGAAAGTCAAAGAAGTTTCCATTTTAGAAATGCTAATGTGTTGGTATCATTGGCTACTGAAAGCAATTGATTCTTTCTGACAGTATTTTTGTTTCCCCCATTTGTGTCTCACCAGGAAGTATAAACATAAGATTTTCTTTAATTCCTTGGAAGAGTTGTCTTTCCTTAATGAGAAGGAATTGGTACAAATGCAAAAACTCACAGAGAAATGTAGATACAAATGTAGATACCAAAGTTCTTGACTGGATGACAGGTTTTTCAGTCTTGGTAGAGAGCACTTAGACCTTGACAAGGTTTGACGTAAACAAACTCAGGTACTCCGTGACTGTATATAACAGTTCACTCCTTGTGACATGGACTAGCCCTTCCCCATCCAAACCCAGGAGCAAGCAGCTTACCATCTTGACAAAAGGCAGGCATCAGAAGCAGTCCAACAGCTGCAAACTTGAAGGCTCTCATTTTAATGACCTGAGTCCCAGTTCTCAACACCCCATGGCATGTAAAATTGGGGAACAGTCTCCCCTCAGTCACCACCCTGTGCGGTACAGCTGGGAGCTCCCCTGGCCCCACAGGAAGAGGATGTGACTCAGCCCACGCTGGGGAGGGACCTGGCGATCCTCGAGCCTGCTGCCTTAGCCCAGGGGTTGCTGCACTGGTACCCCTGGCTGTCCATTTTGAATGGGTGCCGGGACTCTCACCCAGTGTGCATAGGCACCTAAGGGACAACTGAAGCTGTGCTGAAAACAGATACTGAGCAGGTTAGCTTGGAATCTGGCCCATATCTCATTTTTACCCATCTTAAAACAGTTTCAGAATTTGATTTCTACTTAATAAATGAGCAATGAGAAATTCTTCTTTTATTCTCCTAGTTATTCCAAATCTTCAATGGGGGGGGGGTCTTTTTTGAAACAGGGTCTCACTGTGTAGTTCAATTCACAGTGATCCCCCTGCCTCAGCTTCCCAAATGCTGGGATGGCAGGTATGTGCTGCTTCACCCAGCTCACATTTAAATTTGTTAATGCATTGCATAATTGTACGCCAAATCAATCATGGAAGGCAAATTTTTTAAGAAGTTAAAATTGCTTATGTGCTTAATCTTGAAGCAAAGAAATGTGAAATGTGCAATGAATGGCACAAGTACAGCATTACTCGGTCACTACCCAAAAATCACTCTCTTATGGAATAGATTCCGTTTGAGAAATTATACACAGTTTATTTCTGAACTAGACTGTTTGGTTTCAGCCCTTTTAGTAAGAAAAGAGCTAAGTTTTTACTGCTTCTGAGACAAAATATTATATATGAATGGGGGAGCAAGGAGGGTTGTCATTCTCCCTGGTACCTGGACAAGAGAACATTTATACTAGTACAGAAATGGCTTTAGCACTTTAACCTATAAACATTGCCTAGCACTTTCTTACTTCATACTGTAGCTTCATATGATTTCTTTAGTGTCAGGTAATTTCTGTACTTTGTATCTATATTATATACATATATATATATATATATATACATAATATATAGTATGTGTATTAGTAAAATTTCTTCATTCTAAAACAATACAGCTTGACCTCAAACAGTCCCACATTAAATTTGCATATTAGCAATTCACTCATATAGATAATTGCTATAATCATAATTATGGCAAATTATAGTTAATTTGCCATACAGTTAATTTATCATTGCTATTATTTGCTTAAGCTACCTTCTGGGATTGACTAAAGACTCTAATGCAAACTGTCTAGTCACAGAGGGAGTCCCTGGAGGTTCAAATCACACACCGGTGATTCTCTGTCAAAGCTGTTTCTCCTGGGCGGGTGGCTGTCACGTCTTGTCTAGGTAATCCCTAGAGATCTGTGCGAACACATACGGGAAGGGTCCCCAGGTCGAAGGTAATTCACTGAGGCAGTGTAGAAAGGACAGTGGCCACTGCCACAGGAAAGCCTTTCTCAATGCGGTCTGTGCCTTCAAGCAGAAAAGGAGTGCAGAGCCTCCAACACCTGCAGCAACCCCAGGGAAGTGTGTGTCCTCCTGAGACTCCTGCAGAATGTGCTCCTGCAGAGCTTGAGGAGAGTCCAGCAGTAGCTGTGGCATACATGCGTCTTCCACCACAGCTATTGCAGCTTAGGCTGGTTTCCTCCATACAAGGGCGTCTCCATGACAGAACATGACAGCAAATCTGAGTATTGGTTTAACATCACGACAGTGTGTAAAACAGTATAGGAACTGAATCGGCAGGTCCCCCGGTGCATCTACATCCAGATGGTCCATTGCTAAGAAAGCCATGTTGTTCTGAGCAGCACACACTCACAGTGGTTCACGTTACTTCATCAGCCCCTGGGGCGTCCCCAAGCCATGGTCATTTCAAGAGGCCTTGAATCTGCCTGACTACCAGCTTCTTTAGCTCAAAGTCCCACACTTAGCAATCATTTACAACTTGTGTGAGCCATACATCTGTGTTTAGAATGTGGACTTCTTTGTCTGTTGCCCTTTGGTATCTTAAAGCTTGAGAAAAGCAGCAACAACCGGGATCATTGCTGTTGAGCAGTACAACTTGAGTAGTGAACTGACCTTTTCTGTTGCAGTAGCTTTGGTGCTCCAATGGCTCCATGTGTAGAACCGTATCACTTCCTGTCTGAAGCAATCCATAACGACTTTTCTCCTGTAGTTCAAGACCCAGAGCATAAATTAACTCCTTCTTGCCTGTGTGTCTGTGATGTATCTATAGCTACTACCACCATGATCACATTATGTTATAATTATCTCTGCCCACAGTTGTCTCTTCCACTAGACCATTAGCTCCTAAAAGGCAGTCACCATGTTTTTGGGATTTTTTGTCTCTGTGTCTGACAAATGTTGAATATCCCTGTATTACTCTCAAAGTTAACATGTTCCCACTGTCTTATACCACTGGTGGTTCAGAGCAACCCAGCAGTGAAACCCGTGAATTACAGCCCCATCATTAACATGTTAAAATGTCACATGGCACCTTGGGACATCTTGGCATATAGTTTTGTATCTACAGTTATCACATTCTTAGGGGTACATATGAGTGAATAAAGGGATTTATGCACAATGCAGTTCTACTTAGCCACAAAGAAGAATAAATTTGAGTCATTCATACAAAAACGATGGCTCTTGAGAACATAATGCTAAGTAAAACTAACCAGACATGCAAGGTTAAATATCATATGGTTTCTCAAATATGAGAAACCCAAAGTATAAGAACAAAATAAAAAACAGGAAGCAGGGAGGGAGGCTCTGTGAAGATGGGAAGGGGAACAAAGGATCTGAGAGACAGGGTGGGAAGAAAGGGAAATAAAAATGAAAAATGACCAAGATGAGACACATCTACATACTAGTTCCCTAAGATATGTGATTACTGTAGATCACAACATAGACCACAACAAACGCTGAGGGGAAAGAATACTTGACCAGTAGCCAGGGAAGTCTTTTCGGAGGAGTAGCATTTGAGCTGAGGCCTGAATGCTGAGAAAAGATAGTAGGCGGTGTGTTCTGACGAAAACTCATGGAGTTCCAGACCAGGACGGGATTGTTGGGAGATGTCGGGTGCGCAGGGTCGGATCATCCGAGCCCTTTAGTGCAGGAGCTGTGCGTGTTCCCTAACTGCAGGGTGCGGGATGTAGTGCAGGGCTGCGCAGAGGAGGGGTATAATGAGATGTCCATTTGGAAGAGAGATTGTGTGGTTCTCTGTAGAGCCCCATGCTTATCCCAGTACAGAGCATCCTCAGAAGCAGCAAAGGCAAACAGACCAGTGCTGCTGTCAGTTCGGGAGCTGAAGGTGGCCTGGATTCAAGGTGGCGGCAGAGGGAGCAGTGGATGGCCTGGGGTCAGTCATTAGTAGTGTGTGCTGCATGTGGTAGGGCTGTGTCATTGCAAGGGAAGGATTTGTGGAAATTATAATAAAGGAACTCCTGAAAAGTAGTTGTGGGTTCTGTGCCATCATCTGTCACTGTTCCGCCCATGACTCTGTGACATTGTTCCCAGGATGCCGAGTGCGTCTCTAAAGTCCTCTGGCTGGATGAGGTACAGCAAGCCGTCCATGAGGCCAATCTGGATGAGGACAGAGCAAAGCAATGTGAGTACCTGCCTTCTTCTGCGGGCCAGGCTGTCCTGCCTTGTATTTGGATATGGGCCTGAAGACTGTACTGTTTCCCTTCCAGAAAGGTCTGGGCTCTCAGACCTTTCAGTTATTTGATGCATATTTATCCAAAAATATGTGTAGGTGGTTGCCCACTTCTCAGTGATGTGGTAGCTCCAACAAAATTGACAGTGTTGTTGAAAAAAATCCAGAAAGTTAAAAAATGCTCTGCAAGCTCTCCAGTTTTATAATTGAATCAAATACTTTTTTCTCTTGATCCCTAGGAAACTAGCTGTTCAACTGCTGCTCAATGAATGCATCTTCATTTTGCCATGCCTGGCTCTGTTACTTGAGGTTCTCAGAGAAACAGACTAACAGAGACGGAGGAAAGGAAGGAGGGGAGAGTGTATATAGATATTTACCTGAAGACATTGGCTCACAAGATTGTGGAGGCCAGGAAGGCAGAAATATGTAGGGCAGTCTGGGAAAGCCAGGTGTCCACATGTAGGCTCCAAAGGGGAGTGGGCGTGGATACTGAAATGTACTCAGAGCAGTGACTGGGACGAGGGTGTAGAGCTGGCTAACTGATCATGGTATTTCTTGAAGGGAAGCCTACTAGTACTTGCTATGTTCTTAATATGTGCAAGTGGAAGAGTTTGTATCATAAAAACAGAGGCAGGGTCCCTCAGTTCCCAACCTGGAACTAGTTTATAAGCCCTGAGCCCTTTAAATGAAGGGGAGACCTTCTTTTCTCAAGGTTCCCTTGAGAAAGCACTCCACTACCTTACCAAAAAATCATAGTGTTAATCTATCAGTCTTCCCCCAAAGAGACTTATAGCCTCTTCCTGGATTGGCTGTGTAAGAGGGAAAGGGCATGATGGACATTTCCAGGACCACTGGGCACTGGCTGCAGACTAGCGCTGATTCCAGGTGACCCAAAATGTCATTGTGGTCCTCCAGTGAGAACTAGGGCTCTTGGAATCAGCTGCTCGGTGTAGTTTAAGTGCAGGTCCATCACACAGTGGGCCCAGTGGGTCCCCAGGTCCATCCTGGGTTACTTCTCCAGTTCCAGAATGCATAATTGGAACAGACAGACAGCAACTCGAAGAATCCTCTCATTGATTTTATTTTTATATTCGAAAACCTGTCATTTCAGGAAGGCAGGATGAGAAATTTCACATGACAATCTGAAATAGCTCTAATTTGAATCATATACTAACAGTCTCCATGGATGAACCCCTACGTGAATTAAAATGAGACTCCTGAAAGTATACAGCTCATTTCCCTGGCCATTCGTGGCGTTCGTTAGTCTCTGTTCTGTCAAGTCCTAGAGCACTTACAGGGCTTAGTCTTATTTTACTGATGTGCTTTCAAGCTTTGGAAAAATCTGTGTAGAACATCTGGTTTTTATTTTGTAAGCTTGGAAAAATATGTGAATTTCTCTAACCTGAACTTTTATACCCTTAGGAACTTTGAAGTCTTTCCTTTTCAGTATTATAATGCTTAAGAGAAAAAAGTAATATGGTTGAGATGTGTACATAAGAGATTTAAATTTACATATAAAAATAATTCAATTGAAATGAGTATATAGATTTAAATCTACATATAAAACCAAAAGTCTAAAAAGACACTTTTAGAAAATTCATTTGTAATATAGACACTCAAATAGCCTAAAATGGTTATGCCTTTTTTCTTAGAGATTGAGAAGTTATTTCATCCCTTTTATTCATTATTGTTCTTGCATTTGGCCGGCAAAGGTTGGTTCTGTTTCTCACATTGAGACTCATGGTTCTACTGACTATAGAACTAAGAAGGTTTCTCAGAAATGAATGATTTTGTATACTTTTGAGCTTGTACATCTGAAATCCTATCTTCTCCCTCTGTCCTATCCCTTGCAAGATCTCTCCCCTGTCCTCTCCCTGTGCTTTTTTCTACAGTATATAGCAGCACTAACATTTTTTTGAGGTTAAAACTATCTGTATTCAGATGTTGTAATGGAAATTTGGGGTTTTCAACAGAAACATAATCTTGCTTTTAAAAGCACTCTTCATCCTTTGCATGAAGACTTGAAACAGAGACTCTGATCACATGTTGCAGGCATCCCAGATAAGTTGATAAAAGAGAATGTGCTGGCCCATAGATTTTACCACAGGCAGGATTTAAAGGGCAGAGTCACTCAGATCTCCTTCATCTTGGCTCAGCGTTCCTTTACACTGGGGTATCTTGCTTGCTTGCCTCAACGTTTGACCGCAGAGAGCAGTATTTCTCAATCTCTTTCCATGATTACATTCTAAGAAATCTTTTTAAATGTTTCCCTTAATCTCTTCTCATAGTGAAATGTTAATGCCACAGATGCAGTGTATATCTGTTTGTGCATCTAGGTAGATCTGTGCTTTAGACATGTTTTTTATACCCCATCCTACTGGGGGGCCCTATTTGAGGGTTCCCCTTCCCGCAAGGAGAATGCGTAGGGCTTAAGGCACAAGCAAAGCTTTTTGGGTCTCTTAGGAGATCTGTGTGAGGCCTCTTATTTTGTTCCTCTCAGAAACATACCTAACTTTTTCCAGATCATTTGTCTGACATGGTTCTCTATCAGGGACTTGACCACAGCTACAGAGTAAGCAGCAGACCGACCAACATAGACATCTCCGTCCACACTGGAGCTGCACAGCTTTCCGCTCAAGAGACCTTGGGACAAACACCGGGAGCCACTTATTCTTTTTATAGGCATAGTTCTAATGGCAATGGGAGCTTCTCTTTGAACGCTAGTGCAACAGAAGCCACTCATTGCCAGCAGTAGTGTTTAGGCACCAGGGTTGATAAGCAGTGACAGCTAGCAGTGGAGGAAAAGGGAAAACAGAAAAGCAGCTGAGCTGCCTGCCCAGCCACTCCCCGCCCTTGAAGATGTCACTGTCCACTCCACGGTACCATGTGAATGACATGAGGACACTAGGCAGCTCTCAGCAGATGCAAAGCACAGACTGAGTAAGTAAGGAATGAGAGAGTCTGTTCTGTTAGGCACCTTCAGATTTTCATGGAAAAACAGCCCGACTCAGATGAGAGTCGGAACTGGACTTGATATGTGGACTAACATCCTCACTCAGTGACAGAGAACAATTGTATTCAAAAAATGTATGCTTTTGTAACCCTGACTTTTAGGGGACATTACATTCTGTTGCATTCATTTGGTGAAGCAATCGTGTGCTTGTGTGAGAATTTTTCTTTGTCCCTTACTTGTTTCTTCTGCTTCCCTTGGACCACAGACTTAAGTGTCAGCTCTTCATTTTTCTCCATCCTGCAAAGCTCTCTTGGAGCAAAGGACAGGGGATTGGTCCTCCCGACTCCTTGTGCACCTCCACAAGCATGAAGCACACTGCTGGACCTAGTGTCCCACAGCCAGAGAAGTTTGCTAAATTCTCTTTCACCTCTGTGTGCGCCTCTGGCTTACACAACTTTGACCTCAAGCTGTCAGAAGTCAACTCTTCCTCTTACATCATCGGCTTCAGAGCCCTACGAATATGTAAAGATAATCTTAAGAGAATTTGTCTCCCATACTTCCGAGTTTAACATGTGTGTCAAAAAACAAAGGGGAAAAAATCCGCCTCTCTCCTCTCTTTCTATCAAGATCTTTTTTTTTTTTTTTTTTTTTTTTTTTTGGTCAATCTGGGAAATATCTTATTCTGTCTTCTCCCAGATTTTTTTTTCCTGTTCAGAAACTCTGTTGTTTATTCTCATAGTCATGGCCTCCTTTTTCAAGGGTAATCAAAATTTTGATTTTTTTTAATTTTAAAAATAAAAAAATGAAAACATTAGCAAGCAGACATCCATTTACAAAATAGCATAAGAACAATACAACCAATACTGAATTATAGACAAGGTGACAGGAAATTAACATTGGTTGCTGTATAACTTCAAAGTGGTTACTCAGGAAAACAGAGACATGCAAGTTCGATCAAATAATTAATCATTAACTGTTCCTTTCAATAAAGTGATAGAAGTCAGAAGTACAACTATATTAGCTATCCTGTATATGCATATATACATAATTTTCTCCTTCTTTTTTTTCTCTTTTCCCTCATCCCAGTTGCTCTTTACTTTTGAGCAGTTTCCTTTTGTTTCACAATATCTATCATACCTCATAATTTTTATTCACTCTTTCAGGTTCTTATATTAGTGAGACAATATGTTGCTTATATAGGCATGTCTGATTTACTTCACTTATGAGTATGGTCTCTAGTTGTAACATTTACCCATAAAAGCCTAGAGTTTATCTTTCTTTATAGCTGAGTAATATTCCATTATATAAAAATGCCACAATTTTTTTATCTATTCCTCAGTGGATGGACATTTGAGTTGTTTCCATGATTTAGCTATTACAAATTGCACTGCTATAAACATGGGTGCACATATATCGTTGTGATACAATGTTTTCAGATCTTCTGGGAAAATACCCAGAAATGGACAAAAATTAAAAGCTTTCTCTTTAAAATCAGGAACAAGACAAGGATGTTCACTGTCACCATTCCTATTCAACATAGTTCTGGAAGCATTAGCCAGAGCAATTAGACAAGAGAGAGAAATAAAAGGAATAAGGATAGAAAAGGAAGAAGTGAAATTATCACTATTTGCAGATGACATGAATACTCTACATGGAAGACCCCAAAAACTCCACCAAAAGGCTTATAGATTTAATAACTAAATTCAGTAGCATAGCTGGATATAAAGTCAACACTCAAAAATCAATAGCATTCCTATATGCAAACAACAAACAGACTGAGAGAGAAATTAAGGAAACCATTCCTTTCACAATAACATCCAAGAAACTGAAATATTTAGGAATCCATCTAACAAAAGAAGTCAAAGATCTCTTTCATGAAAACTACAGTGCTCTGAAAAAAGAGATCGAAGA